CCAGGCGTTTCAAGCAAATCAATTTTCAAAAGTGCTGTGGATGTGAATAATAAGACGATAGGAGCTTACAGATTTTCGGAGCTCCCCCCTGACTGCTGCCGATGCCCCACTTAATCCGGTCATACTCCAATTTCGCTCCACTCTCGCGCCCACACATTCATCCTCCAACTTCACCTTGACATCGCAGTACTTCTTGCAACGAGGAATCAATTCACAGCTTCCATTAATCCGTTATCTTTGCTTGTTGCAGTGTCGCAACATCCTCACAGGTATGCCGTTGCCATTTGAAGTCCCGGACGCCGCTCCGCACAGCTCTACCTTGCCATCCTCGTGCTCTCCTCGTACTAGGCCCGGCCAGCCATGCTAATCATTAAATCTTGCAGACTTTGCCTACAGAAGACACCCATCTCTCCATCTCGATATAGCAGCGAGTCTACACACTTCCACGCCTTCGACGACCGAATTATCGCAATCAACTTGTCGCGACACCCCTCAATAGCTTCACCAGATAATCTTGGAAACGAGCCTCAACAAATCCGATACCGTACATCCTTCGATCTGAACCCCACACCTCGCCGACATTATGGGAAGCTTTGTGTTCAAGTGGTATGTTGGATACGTGTTATTACTCTCGATGCGCTTCTCTGCGGCTTCAATTCAAGGCTTCAGTCGTGAGCTGGTCAAGACGGCCGATTGTGCCGAGTTCTACTGGACTATCCTTTCACGAATGTCGCAGGCCGTCAACTTCTCATTGATCCTTCTATCCCTCATTCTCTGTGCTGCCCTTCTGTCTCCTAATCGCATTGCTGACGCTCAATTCCTAGGGAACATCCCGCATCCGAGGTATACGTTACTGGCACATTCGATGCGTGGTCCAAGAGCGAGAAGTTGGCCAAGACAGGCGACGTCTTCGAGAAAGATGTGACTCTTCAAAATGCCGGAGAGAAGATTTACTACAAGGTATGTTGGACAATGTATGTTCCGTTGTTGAAGCTATGGAGGCTGGCGCTTCGCAAGGCACCAGAATTTGCGAGTGAGCGACTGGATTTCCTCAAATGCAGTTGTCGTCAAGTGGAGACATCTATGAAGCTTCGCAAATTCTCGCATCACAGCCTTCACAGGACATCTGTCAGAATTATAGTACCTTGTCTATTCAAGGAACCACGGTCAATGCAGTCTTCCGCCGTAGACGCCGAAGCTCCAGTTATGACGCGTTCGTGCTCGTTTTCCTCGGAGCGGTGAAGCTTTGGACTTGGAAGCACTTCCTTTGCAGGGGTTCTTCTGCAGGCAGCGCCCGTTTCTCGACGCTTTAGGTGTGCTGGACCGTGCAGCTGATATCGTCAATTCCCAACCCCGCCATATAATCTTAGTTGATCATTCTTTTCTTTTTTTCTCGAGTTGCTTTTTGGCATTCTACAAACAATATTGAAGCAATCACTAACTCGCTATTCACCTCCAGTTTGTTGTTGATGGTAATTGGGTCACTGATCATTCAGCACCACAAGAAAACGACGCCTCTGGCAACCTAAACAACGTTCTCACGACAGATAGAATTATCAAGCACACACCAAAGACTGCTGGAATCATGTCAGGCGTCGCTCCCACCTCTACTACCGCCGATTTGGCCAAAGAGGTCCCTCTCGAAAGCGAGAAGCAGAAGTCAGAGACCGGAATACTTTCCAGCGCTGCTCCCACTTCTACAACTGCGGACTTGGCCAAGGATGTGCCCCTCGAAAGCGAAAAAGCTGCCCTTGAACCCTCGGGGTCCGCGGACCTCCCAGGCACCTTCCCAGAGACTCCAGCACCCACAGACGACCAGAATTTTTCTGTAAACCCTCTTCCCGCAGCAGATGGCGCAGTCAATCCCATCAAACTTGCGCCGGACGAGAAGGTTCCAGAATCTAGCCCGATCACCGAAAACACGATCACATCAGGTGTTCACGATGATCCCGAACTTGTCGCCGCAGACAAGGCGAAGAGCGAGGCCGAACCGGCCTTCGGTGTTGCACCTCTTCCGGCATTTGCAGGTGGCGTTAACCCTGTTAAGGTTGCTCCTGGTGAGAAGCTACCCGAAACTAGCTCCGTTACTACCAATACTTTGACATCAGGCGTTCACGATGACCCTGAACTCGTTGCGGCGGACAAGGCTAAGGGTGAGTCTGAGCAAACTTTTGGAGTGTCACCATTGCCAGCTTTTGCTGGTGCCGTCAACCCTGTCAAGGTTGCTCCTGGCGAGAAGCTTCCCGAGGTTAGCACTTTGACTGGCAATTCGACCACTTCCGCTGTTCATACCGACAAAGAGTCCTACGAGAAGAGCGATGCCCTCCCACCAGTACTCCCGCCGGTTGTCACCCCTCAAAACGAGCGTGACCAGAATGGCACTGGCGTCCTCGACCTTCCGCCAGTCTCCAAGAACATCATTCCGGAATCAAGCCTACCAATTGGTACTACAGGAGCTGGTACATTTGACGGCACTCCAACGATACAATCTTCAGGCCCACAAAGCACGACCTCTGCACTTGCGGCAGGTGTGCCATTGGAGTCTTCCAAGGTTCCCGAGATTGTGAAGGAGAGTCAGGAAGAAGCGGGCATTGCCCCAGAAGCTAGTGCTGTACCAGAGGTCAAGGAGAAGTCAACAGTCGAGAAGGAGTTGTTGAGTGAAGTCCCGGTTGCGCCATCCACATCCGAAGGTACTGCTGGGCAAGGAACGGATAAATCCGAGGAGGCCGTGACAGCTGGTCAAGCCGTAGCTGCTATAGGGGGGGCTGCTATCGCGATTGGCGCTGCCGTCGCTGGAGGCGCTGCTCTTGCGGTAGGAAAAGCAAAGAATAGCCTTCCGGAATCCGTGTCGAGCAAATTACCCGAATCTGCTCAACCTACACCAACCACCGCGAAGGATACCCCAGAGGTCGTCAAGGAGAGCCAAAAGGAAGCAGGTTTTGCTCCAGAGGCTTCCGCCAATGAGGAGGCAGTTCTGGAAAAGAAGGCCGTTGAGAAGGAGCTCTTGTCCGAGGTTAAGCCAGAGACCTCTACTGGCGAATCTGCACCAAAGATCACCGAGACTGCCACACCAAAACCCATAATCGTTGCGAAACCTGATACACTAGCCAAGGCTGCAGACACCTTGAATGCTCCAGCAAGCATACCGGCGACTGTGAAAACAGCCCTACGTGACGTTTCCCGAGATGTGTCTCCAAGAACCATTCCTGGCTCTCACTCTCAGACGCAACCTGTTGTCACCAGTGGTGTAGCGTCAGCTACAACTGACAAGACCACAACCCCATCTACTCCAGCAAAGTCTGCGGCCGCTGGCTCCACTACATCGACTCCATCAAGCAGCAAAGCTGACACTCCTGCCAGTTCTTCCACCACGGACAAGAAGAACAAACGTCGAAGCTTCTTTGGCAGAATAAAGGATAAGCTCAAGAATTAAGAGTCTTGTTCCAAATGGGATTGGGGAAGGCCTGGTGATGGTTGATTAATAGAGGCATAATCCCTAGTGTAAGATATCGATTGTGCTTTTCCGTTATCTAAGCTTAATGCGGAGGGAAGGAAAGTTGAGAGATACATATGCGGGAGTGCCCTTGATACCTATTGGGGTGTTTGTTACTTGACAATTGTGTTTCCGAGGGGTATATCGTGCTTTTAGGTCACATTTTTTGCTGCTTCCTATACCATGCATATTCTTGTTTAATTGCCGGCATCTCCACGGTGATGCCGATCTTGCGCGAGGTGAAGAGACATACTCATGGGAAGGGAGGCTAGATCTTGAAAATGTAGATAAAACAGCGTAAATACTCTCATGTCCAGCGTAATTTCGATATTATCTCGAGTGATGTCACTGGTACCAGCCTACTTTCTGTGAATAAGGCTAGAACAGAGCCGGACAATATTTACTTCACGGGAAGCGAGTGATGGTTGTTTCGACTTGTACTCCGTACACGAGCTAGGTATCTTCATTAGAGGCACATGATGGCAAATATTTTGTACTCCGAAACACCTTGTTTTTAAAATCTATCCCAGAATAGTTTTGGAAAAGCAGGTATACCTAGAACTTATTATGATCCTCGTAGCTCTATTCATTCTTTCAAGAGCAAAAAGAACCAATTTATTACATAACTAAGGACTAGAAAGGGATCGTAGCCCCCTCCCCTTGTTTTGAGCTATTACTCATCCTAGATGCGGTTGACTGTAAAAGTATCTATATTATGAGGAAGGGGTAGGTAGGTTGAACGATACAACAGTAACTAAGACTTGATTGTGTCGACAAAGCTACACTCTACCCTTCTATGGTAGAGAACCTCGGAGGCAGGAAGGGAGATCACTCCTGTTCTCTAGGGCATTTCTAAACCATTAAGTTAATTCGTGTCGCTAAAGTTCCAAAAGGAATGTGGATGGATGGCTATAGTAAGACGCGGGAAACACGTTGGATCCCCGTGGTTTAAGCCTGGGAATAGGTAGCCTGCAACCTGTTCGACAGGAATACGGTTTTTATAAAGTAGAGAGACGTAAAAGGGGTAAAAGACAGGTGATAATTGTAAGTGGTAGTCTGCTGTAGCTGATATAACCTTTGCTCTTTATCAATAGTGTCAAGTTTTAAATAAGATATACCGGAAGTGGAAGCGGAAGCGGAAGCAGAAGTATAAGATCTTAAGTAAGTAAACATTTTATAATATATAAAAGGGAGGAGAAGTAAAAACACAGCTAAAAACTCTAGGTATACCCTCATCTCGAGTTTCTAAATCTATCGCGTTCTATTGAGATTCTTCTATTTGGGCTTAGTGAATCTAGCTGGTTAGATAGATAGAAGAGTCGAATAACTTGTCCTTTCTTAGGATGGAGAACTAATGCTATTGCCCTAGATAACATACGGGGGCAGAGATACAAGACCCCGAGTATCTACCCTGCGTACACACTTAGCGACATGGTTACCTCGGTGGATCTCTCAACGCCCAAAAAGTGCAAAAAATCAACCACCGTTCAAGATCAATTGGGGATTGAGCCCAACGCGGGGATCGAACCCGCAGCCTTGAGATTAAGAGTCTCACGCTCTACCAATTGAGCTAGCCGGGCTCTAGAAACCGGTGGCTTGTTTGATGTAGTAAAGAGTGGTTGTTGGGGGATATAAAGGTGATTGTGGAGTGGGTCGGCAGACTGAATTTTTTAGTCGAAAGGGCGCCGAGATGGGTACCTTTTTTTGAGTGGATGGAGGATGGTGGGGGACGAGAGGGGTTTGGGGGATTACGGAGGGGAACATTAGTTTAAGTGTTTCTTGGTTGGGATCGCTTTTGGGGAGGCTTCGGGAGTTAATTTTAAGATTCACATTTGATCAGGTTATCTTGGCGCCTTTGATGTCGGGCTAAGGCCTCAGGGTATCTTCAACCAAGTAAATGCAACAATATCACTTGTAGAGAGCGAGAGATACAATTAAGGTTGCTTCTATACAATTCATTTATTCACCATTGCGTGCCTTTTTCGCCAGAAACCAAGGAATATCAACTCCACAAATAGAGCAAAGATGCCCAAACACCATACCAGCACCCACAATATGCTCGCTAATAAAATACAATATCATATCTGCCGTCACGCCGCTCTTCTCGACTTCCTTCTCTCCATCTGATCCCACTTCCAAGCATCCTCAAATGCCGTAGCCTTCATCTTCGTATCACTCTCCTCGAGACCTAGTCGTCTCACTACCTGGAACGCACCGGTCCCCACATTCATCGTTTGGCCCATGATAATACACTCGCTGACTCCCTCAATCTGATCCGACTTCATACCAGCCGCGGCATCGAAAAGATGGTCTGGTGTCTTCTCAAAGGATGCAAGCTGCAAGACACTGTCTCTCATCTTGGACAGACCAAATCGAGTAATCCCCAACACCTCGCCCTTGTATGTCATGACATCGGCAAGAAGTTGCATATGTCGAGGATCAATATTCATGTCCTTCATGACCTCTTGAATTTCATTAGCAATCGTTGTTCGTGCTGCCTCTATTCCAAGAACCTCTCTCATTTCCATGACGCTGTTGCTATAGGATCGAACACCAATGACTCCTTCTGTGTTCATACACGCTCGTAGACCGTATCCTTCTACAAGCACTTTGTGAAGGTTGTCCCCCGACGTCTCAATAATAGCCCGCGAGGCATCTGGATAACCCGAGATCACGACGTCAGGAAGGACACGCTTTAAGTAATTGACGCGGAGTAGAAAGTCGTTTCTGGTGTCGACGAATTCCGTAATCTCCTTTGCCTTGCCTTTGGTCGCCTTTGTGACAGGCCTTGAGGGTGCTGCAGCTGCCCCTCCACGAGCGCCCAGGTTTCCGCCACTTTCTCCTGTAATCTTGATGAAAAGGCAATTATTCTTCAGCGTAATAAGGTTGAAGTCGATCTTTAGCTTCTTCTGACGGCTGATTGCGGTAGCAATAGCATAAGGCTGAAGATCATTGCGATCCGCAATTGCTGCAGTGTCGAGTTTCAGGCACAGGTTCGTATCGTCGGCTGACCACATATCCTCGATAAACTCGATAACATCGCGAAGAAATGTTTTCTCAATTCGACTCTTCACGATTCTTGCTGTTTGTAGGTTGACTGGATCGTAAAGCGGACAAGCGATGACGGGAGTGCTAATCGCCTTGGAAGCGTTGATAATCTCCTTGATACGAGGAACACCACCAGTGATACTCATGCCAGCGACACCGGCAAAATGGAAAGTTTTCAAAGTCATCTGAGTACCAGGTTCTCCGATTGATTGAGCACCGACAGCACCCACCGCATGCCCGGGTTCAACGTGAGCTTTGGCATATTTGCTCAAGCAGAGAGTGATGAACATCCCCAGTGTAGCTTCGGACACCTTGCATGCCTTCTCAACAGAAATACGGAGATCAGAATCTTCGTTTGATATATCGTAATCCATATCAGTAGGATCTGGAGCATGCTCGAATCCATACAACCCTCTCTTCTCTCTGAGTTTGATCATCTTCTTGCCTATGTTGCCAACAAATTCCGTTATGGTCTCTAGAAATCCTCGCGCACTTTCAAGTTCGTCAATGCCATAGTCGGTCTTGTCGTCGTATTGTAAAGAATCGCCAAGTAACCCCTTTCGAATATATTTGGTTTTCTGGAATGCCAGAAGCTTCTCGCAGTGCAACGTGATCTGATATGGTAACAAGCATGGATGATCATTGTTGTATGTCAAGCTTTCAGCGTGAGTCCAGGTCCTAGCAAAGTTGACAGGAACAGCATCCCCTTCCATATCGACTGGATCAAGCTTATCAGCACCAAACTGAAATTGAACGATGCCACCAGAAGAACTCCGAACCGTGTCGTCATACTGGGTTGACAAATCTTCGAGAGACTTCATCAGTCTTCTAGACATGTAGCCAGTCTCTGCAGTTTTCACGGCCGTGTCGACCAGACCTTCACGGCCAGAAATAGCGTGGAAGAGAAATTCGGTGGGGTTTAAGCCTGAAAAGAAACTGTCCTTTACGAAACCCTTAGATAACGCCTCTCGATCATTCTTTGGGAAATGAGGTAAAGTACGATCCTGGAAACCTTCAGCAACTCGCTTTCCACCAATAATTTGCTGCCCAACGACAGCGACCATCTGGGCGACGTTGATGTTGGAGCCCTTAGAGCCAGACTTTGCCATGATCAGCGGAGAGTTCCATTTGCTGAGCGTCTCGATACAGTAATCTCCAGCCTGTTGCCGGACTCTACTAAGAACACCCGAGATAACATTCTCAAGAGTTTCCTCCATATCACATCCGGTAGCCTTTTTGAGAGTACCGTCGTGGAACTGAGAAATCAGGGTTTTCGTCTCTGCGTAAGCGGCCTTGACCAAGGATTCTTTTTTCGCTACAAGGCTGTCGGAGGGATACACATCACTTATGCCAATAGAGAAGCCTTGGTTGGTCAGATATCTGGCGGATATCTTCGCAAGACGATTCATGGCAGTGACAGCCTCATCAGGGCCAAAATCTCTCAGGATGATGTAGAAGATCGATTCTTTCTTTCCTGATCCGACGGTTGTCTTGTCCATCCTACCACACATAACTTCCGAGTTACGTACTACCAACCACCCATCGTTGTCATCCAGGTCTGGCATGCGGCCTTTGACAGGAACGTAGTCTCGACATTTGGCATCTAGGTTGACTTTGACTGGCGAGTCTTTATTAGGACGCATCAATACGCTGAAGACTTGCTTTCCAGTCCAGAGTGCTTCTGGCTTTATAATTGCGGGCGGTGGCAAATCAAGATGGAGGTTGCCGTCAACCATGTACATGCATAGGTTGGTGAAGGTCTTGCGATCGAAGAAGTTTTCTTTGCTACTCAGAATATAAGCCGCCGTGATAAAGTCTTGAGTGGCGGAAATGATTGGCTCTCCATTCTTGGGAGTTGAGAGATTGTTTTTCACTCCCATCAGGTTGATAGCCTCGGTCCTGGCTTCCTCTGTTTGTGGGACATGCAGATTCATCTCATCGCCATCAAAATCTGCATTGTACGGATTGCAGACGCATTCATTGAGGCGGAATGTTCTCCAAGGTCTAACCTTCACATAATGGCTCATGATACTCAGCTTGTGTAAAGATGGCTGTCTGTTGAATAGCACGACATCACCATCCTCAAGATGTCTTTCGACCACATCGCCAACCTGCAGATTTCTCGCTTCGGTTTCGCGCCGAGCGAATTTGAGAGATATCTTGTGATCGGAATCTTTCTTGATAATTTGCTGGGCGCCAGGGTGAACGTTGGCACCATTTCGGACGCATTGTTGCAATTTCTTAATATTGTATCTCTGTACGCGCTCCGGATATGTGAGGTTCTTCGCCACTAGGATTGGGACGGCGACTTGATCGATGCCCAAATTTGGGTCTGGAGAAATAACCGTCCGTCCAGAGAAGTCGACACGCTTTCCTGACAAATTTCCTCGAAATCGTCCTTGTTTGCCCTTTAGCCGTTGACAGAATCCCCGGATAGGCTTTCCAAAGCTATTCTGCTGAAGTCCGGGCACATCGCTATTGACATACATAGCGATCTGCAATTGTAAATAGTCCCATTGTTCCATAATCGTCTGTAGGGCTTGTCCCTTGTTCAAGGATGCTCGAATAAGAGAACTGATATAGACTATGTCTGCCAGCTTTGTAGTCAGATCGTCTTCCGTGCTGGCGCTGTCTTGAGCAACGGAAGGTCTTATGCACACTGGCGGCGCTGGTACATACTGCCAAAGAAACATTTCTGGCCTGCCTTCAGCAGGGTTGATGTTCAGAAGTTCGCAGTCACTTGGTGAAATCATCTTGAAGAGATTTAAGACTCTCAAAGCATTCAAGTCCTCCATTGCTTTCTTCGAGTGTTTTTCCAACTCTGGATTGAACTTTTTGGCCTCCGTGAACGAATTTTTAAATATAGTCAGGCTAGGTGGCTCTACTTTGCTCTTTGCGGACGACTTGTTGTAGACCACATATTTATCGTGTGCCAACTTGAGGGGGGCAAGCTTTCGAATCTGGCCATTGGTGGCGTCACAGTGGGGACATGTTCTTGCTTTGCGGCATTCTGCATTGATCCGTTTGCATATTTGAGTTCGTTTGAGGTTGTCAATTCCTGGTCTGCGAAGCTCTTTAAGGAATGCGCGTCGTTCCGTGTTGGAAAGGAGTACTCTCGCGCAGTCCTATATGAAGAGGTTGTGTCAGTATAGTAGGATAAATACTAGAAAATCTGCCGTACCTTGCATATATTTTGTAGAATGTTCATCGTCAACTTCAAATAGCCAATGTGGAATGCTGGCAAGGCCAGCCTAACATGCCCGAAGTGCCCATTGCAATTGCTCAGACCTTCATTACATGTTGCGCAAAACCCTGCTTTGCTAGAGATTCCCTATCGAATAGTTAGAGTGACTTCCTCTTCAAAATACGAATATTGTATGCCCTCACTAGCCGTGCATCTAAAGGCCCGTGGGAGACTGATCTTCGATTCTGGTCAACATCGTAAAGCATGCGATCCGAGACCTCGATGACTGCTTGATTGACGATATCTTGGGTAGACCTTATCACAATATGTCAGCAGAAGCTGAGATTA